GCTTCGTTGGAGGCCAGAGGGGCGTTGCAAGGTGCAGCTACAGTAGCAACGAGGGCTTTGATCTTCCTGCGCTTGTGAGGGGCAGAGGATCTAGAGGAGGAGTTCGACAGATACTCCTCGAACTTTAGTTGGTCGAACTCGTACTCGACCTCTTCGTAAACCAGAATCCGGATCCGTGATTGCGGTACGATAGCTTCGGCAGCGAAGCTATTGGCTCCCACTGTGGTCGCCAGTGTGTTTGGTTCAAAAATCGTTGTTTTCATTGTGATTGAATCTATTACAGCTTTAATCGTTTACAATAAACTCAAATAAAAAGTTGATCTTTTTATATGATCTCCTTATACAATGAAAATACAAAAGATATGACTCTTGTCAAACAGCACAGTGGACGTTTATCACCCGCTGCTTGCGTGGGTTCTTTGTTTGTGTCGGGGACTTTAATATCCGTGGACCGTCGCGGATCAGATCCGGTTGACAGATAAATGATTAAAGCTCTCACTTCATGAAGGAAGTAATCGCTACAGCGATGCTCTCGACCAAGCGAGATCACGGTTCTTCTCGAGATTTAAGACTAAGCTTAAATTCGGAGGAATAGGGGATGGGTCTCAGATCTCTCGAACTCCACTCTTTATGCACAGGAGATCGCCAAGATCTGCTAACCCTTGCTGTAAATTCGTGGCTCCACTCTCCAATTCGGCAGCATTTCACCCTTTTCGATGTCCAGCCTGGAGAAATGAGCACCCGAGCTCGTATTTATAAGCTTCGGAAGCGGGTATTTGGATAAGAACGAGGGATTCCTTTTTACCTTCAGTTAAGAACTGAATAACCAAAGTATCAGATCAGTTAGGACGATCAGGAACGAACAAATCCTAAGAAAAACCGTCAAAACCGAAAAATCATCAAATCTGGCCGAACTGTCACCTGATGGCTCGGCCTGGCCGATCCACCATTGGCCATGGTCGAGCCACCAATTGGTGGCTCAGCCACCGAGTCACCGTTTGGTGACCTGGTTATGGGTCGAACCACTGGTTCGGTCGAGTCGGTCTGATGTGACTCGACCGCCAACGGTTTTTATTGGTTTTCCGGGTTTTGACTTGTTCTGTCATTACACGTATTTCGTCGTTTCGTTGACTTGTATGATTTCACGATTCGTTTCACGAACGCATGGATAGCTTGACGGTGGCCGACAAGCGTAAGGCCTCTTAGTTCCCTGTTTAGCTGGCCGATGAGAACGCGGGCTACTTAGTTTGCCGATTTGGTGGCTGATGGGTGTGCGGGCCACGTCATCCATAGTTCGTTGATTCGCTGGTCGGTGTCGGATAATCCTCTTTGACTTAGATAATGGCGTTCATCACCTCCTCTCTGTTTCGAGCTGTATTCAGGGACCTATAGGCAATTTTTGATGCCTACACTAATGATTGCAGAGTAGTTTATCAGCCGACTGATGAACAGTGTCAGTCGACTGAAAAACATGCACAGTCCATATATGCACATTAAACTTAATTTTCAAAGTGTGTTTAACAATGGCAAATAAATTTCAAAAATTATGAAACTTGGGAAAATGTTTATATACATGAATATAAACACGTTAGAAAAGAAAATTTTGAAATATCATTGTCCGTTAGTGGAAACTCATCATTTTGGAAAATCTCAAGAATACGAGTTCGTTTAAACACTTGATTTTGACAGAACGATTTCAAACACGTTTGGAAATTCTTTTGAATGAATTAATGGACTTTGTAAAACTTGATTTTGACAGAACGATTTCAAACACGTTTGGAAATTCTTTTGAATGAATTAATGGACTTTGTAAAATATATAAAATATTATCATTAACTCAATAATCCAAAGACTCGATATTTTCTCAAAAACACTCATATTATGATAAAATGAGAAATAACGTGTGTGTATAAGAATTGAGCTTTTGAGCATAACACACAAAGTATAACTCCTGAACTAATATACCCAAGTTAAAAAGTCATCGTTAAGCTTATTCTTGGTAGAGGGATAAAGCGCGATATTGGATCTTTGACTTGAATGCGTAAAGGGCTTCAATCCAAATTCCACTAACCTCCATTAGTTATCATCGTGAAGACGTAATTCCATCCAACCTCCAACTAGGATTTTTTGTAGGATTCCAAACAAGCAAATACAAACACTCGACAAATGATGTTAGGTATTGTTTGTTAATCATTAAAACTAGATTAGATAGTAAGCTCATAAACATTAGACCTAACAGCTTTAACTATCTTTTTTCCAAAGTCCATAAATGAACCAAACCCATGAAAATAAATGGGTTGAAACAAAAAGCTTAGGTGGACTTGACGTGAGGCCAAGAAATAGGTTTCCATGGCCAATTTTAACAAATCAAGCCGCCTGTAAGCTTCAAAAACAAAGTTTTCATGTGCGGAGGCCAACTTAGCAGTATACATTTTGTGTATCATATTTTTTGAAACAACCCTAAATTACCCCTCCCTTTTCACAAGCGTATCATCCTCAAACACTCGTCTGCCTCATGCTCTCCTTCTGCATGTCCACCAGTGTCGCCGCCGCCTACCACCACGTGGCAGGGGCCTATATCGGCTTCCTCATGATCCTCCGGCGGCCTTGCCTTCCTTTGTTGAACATATCTCCACCCTCGATCTACAAATCATAGATCGAGATCCGACGGCCGATAAGAGGTAGAGCATCACCACAACTCTCGCTGTTGTCTCCATTAATGTCATCTCATTTGAGGATTGAGAGGGGAAAAACGCTAGGCTTGATGGAGGTGAGAGGTTCGCATTTTTTGCATTTTATTGGGGTTTGAATTGTAAATTTTTGATATTGGAGAATCTGTTGGATTTAATCTAATAAATCTATTTGTGGGCACATATGATTAAACAATGTGTATTGCTATCTTTCAGGATAACCCACTAAAGTGATCAATTAAGTTGGGTTAATTTGGTATTTAAATAAGTCATGGGGTTATATGTGCAGATACCAGGTTGTAATTGTAATTTATTGAGGGGCTAAATTACAAAAGTACAACATCTATAAATAAGGGGTTATGGTCCCTAACCTAGGGTTACATTCTCTAATTCTCTACACCCCCATCTAGCTAGAGAAATTCGGTTTTAGAGAGAACCCTAAGGTTAGAAGATCCAACACCCAAAATCAAGATCAAGCAATGGATTCAGGTATAAGCTTCCGCTCTTTTAGATCATTGTTAATCTCTTTGAATTAATCATGGCTATATGGTTTTAGATCTCAAGTTTTATGATGTAGATCTAACAAGTGGTATCAGAGCCACCTTGATTAATTCTTAGGGATTTAAGTTTTATTGGGTTTTTGATCTTAAATCTCTGGTTAAAGATTCAATTTTTGGGTTCGGATGAACAGTAATGTTCTCGGATGAACAGTAACGATTTTTTTTCCCGGATGAACAGTAAAGTATTTTTCGGATGAACAGTAACTGAAAAATCGCCGGTGAACAGTAACTTTTGGGAATTTTTTGGATTTTTCTTTGATTTTTCCTTCAATTTTTTCCAATTCTGGATCTGTTTTGAAAATAAAAATCAAAGGTTTTTTGGGTTTGACGGCGGCGGTTTCAATTTGAAACCCTAAGGGTTCATGGCGAAAATTAAGGAGGTGGTTACCTCAAACGAACCTCGCGTTCGTTCAATTTTAACCGAGCTTCGCGCTCAACGAACCTCGCGTTCGTTCTAAGGTGAACCTCGCGTTCAACTCAGGTGAGCGTCAAGCTCAATTTTAACGAACCTCGCGTTCGTTCTAAGGTGAACCTCGCGTTCAACTCAGGTGAGCGTCAAGCTCAATTTTAACGAACCTCGCGTTCGTTCTAAGGTGAACCTCGCGTTCAACTCAGGTGAGCGTCAAGCTCAATTTTAACGAACCTCGCGTTCGTTCTAAGGTGAACCTCGCGTTCAACTCAGGTGAGCGTCAAGCTCAATTTTAACGAACCTCGCGTTCGTTCTAAGGTGAACCTCGCGTTCAACTCAGGTGAGCGTCAAGCTCAATTTTAACGAACCTCGCGTTCGTTCTAAGGTGAACCTCGCGTTCAACTCAGGTGAGCGTCAAGCTCAATTTTAACGAACCTCGCGTTCGTTCTAAGGTGAACCTCGCGTTCAACTCAGGTGAGCGTCAAGCTCAATTTTAACGAACCTCGCGTTCGTTCTAAGGTGAACCTCGCGTTCAACTCAGGTGAGCGTCAAGCTCAATTTTAACGAACCTCGCGTTCGTTCTAAGGTGAACCTCGCGTTCAACTCAGGTGAGCGTCAAGCTCAATTTTAACGAACCTCGCGTTCGTTCTAAGGTGAACCTCGCGTTCAACTCAGGTGAGCGTCAAGCTCAATTTTAACGAACCTCGCGTTCGTTCTAAGGTGAACCTCGCGTTCAACTCAGGTGAGCGTCAAGCTCAATTTTAACGAACCTCGCGTTCGTTCTAAGGTGAACCTCGCGTTCAACTCAGGTGAGCGTCAAGCTCAATTTTAACGAACCTCGCGTTCGTTCTAAGGTGAACCTCGCGTTCAACTCAGGTGAGCGTCAAGCTCAATTTTAACGAACCTCGCGTTCGTTCTAAGGTGAACCTCGCGTTCAACTCAGGTGAGCGTCAAGCTCAATTTTAACGAACCTCGCGTTCGTTCTAAGGTGAACCTCGCGTTCAACTCTATATATATATATGTGTGTGTGTGTGTGTGTGTGTGTGTGTGTGTGTATGTATGTATATATGTATATGTATGTATATATATGTATGTATATATATGTATTTATGTACATGAGATTAATGGAGGTCATTGACATAGGAGGGAGTTTCCTCCTATGGCGCTGATGTGGCCAGATCCCAGCCACAGATCTCATTTCTTGAGGTGTAATCAATCCCTGAGTCATTTTGCAAAAAACTCCTCGCGTTGAGATCTGTGTGGACCAGCTCTTGATGAGCTGTCGAGAAACCCAACCCCCCCCAGATTCCTCCCTCTTCCTCGCCGCCCGACGCCGTGATTCCTCCCTCTTCCTCGCCGCCCGACGCTGTGATTCCTCCCTCTTCCTCGCCGCCCGACGCCGTGATTCCTCCCGCCTCCCGCTGTCGACGCCGGCATCGACGCCAAGATCCGTGATTCCTCCCTCTTCCTCGCCGCCCGACGCCGTGATTCCTCCCTCTTCCTCGCCGCCCGACGCCGTGATTCCTCCCACCTCCCGCTGTCGAGCCGACGCCGACGCCGAGATAAGGTAAGGTCTGAACAAGACCTTAGAAACCCCTAGTTCATCACTATGGAATCAAGTGATATTATGAATATCAATGTTTTCAAATTGGAAAAGAAAAAAAAAATTGAATAAATTATTATTTAGAAGATCTACAGCTTGTTATTTTATTTTACTTCATATGAATATCTCAATGCGATGAGGACTCGTAGTTTTATCTCAATGCACAATTTAAATTTCCACGAGCAGAAATTGGAATACACACTGATTGCATTCATGATTTATGCAGAAATTGGAATAAACACAGAGTTATCTGAAAATGGACTGAACTTGTTTCCAATTTACTGTTCGTATAGACATAGGAGGTAAGCTTCTTACCAACAGTACTCATCTTCCAATTGTGATCTAGAAAATAGATTTCCACATTTTTGACAAAGATATTATTTTTTTTCTTCCGAACTCCTGTGTTAATGTTTTCTCAGCATCTTTTTTGTATTGTAATTGAGCTGGATGAGTTAGTCCTGAGAAAACATACTATCACTACGATTCCTTTTGTCATCTGATACTACTCAATTTCAACTTAACAATATATTGAAGGAACTATATCAAGCCCTTAATTTTATTAAGATATAATTTCATGAAGTTTGTAACACATTGATAATTGTTTCAGGGCTTAGGATATAATTTCATGAAGTTTGTAACACATTGATCCTAGTGGCTTAGGATATAATTGTGTTAATGTAGTATTGAGAGATGGTGAAAAAATTTTAATTCGTGATCCTAGTGGCCCAGTCAAAACAAAGGGTCGTCCAAGAGGCTTATGGAATT